TTCCCCAGCTTGGGATCAATAAAGTCTGTCTGTCTGTCTGTCTGTCTATCTCAGTTTCCCTACATGTATTTGTAAACTGGGGGGGCATTATTTCAGTGTTAAGTTTGTGACAAAGCAAAATCAAAATCATGAGTAGAAGAACTGTACAGCATTTTTAATAAATCATCTGTGCAAAGAGGAAGGACAGCAAAATTAATCTGAACCAAGATCCTGCACAAACAACAATTACAGTAAATTACAAAAAGACCACGGGAGAGTTTGTATGTAGAAAAATAAGTTACAAAATTGCTGCTGCGCAATTTATTTCTTTTTTTCTGCCGCCATAAAAATGACCTTATAGAGGAAGAGAAACGCATGTACATAGTTTATTTTTTCTTTTTACCATAATACTTTTCCCTCTCATCAGTCACGTCACAACACTTTCTCATGAGATACGCATTTATCTTAAAACTGATTCACAGGTTTATGCACAGGTTCACAAAACCAGGGACTTGGCTGTCCAGTAAATGATGAAGCAGCAGCTAAAAACATGAAGTGCTACTGGCAGACACAAACCTTTAAATAAACTCTGCAGACATCAGTTATCTTGATTCCGGTTGATGGTCCTTTGGTTGGGCACCTAACTAAAGCTCCCTTGGGGAACAGGGATGTTTTCATGAAGGTATTTCATACTGCCTTGCTCAGAGAAGTCAGCCACAGTGTGCCCTTCCCCTCTAAGGACCCATTTGGTGGTCAGAAGCCCCTCCAAACCCACTGGACCTCTGGCATGTATCCGTGCAGTACTGATACCAACCTCAGCTCCTGCAAAATAAATACAATTAACTCTTAACTCACAGTGGTAAGTTAGATCCATTTACAAAAGGGTATATATTTTATTACAGATGGCAAAAGAAGGAATAAAATCATGCCCGATTGTGTACATACCTAAGCCAAACCGGTAACCATCTGCGAAGCGAGAGCTGGAGTTCCAGAATACGCAGGCGCTGTCCACCTGCTGCAGAAACTGTTCAGCAGTCTCTTCATTTTCTGTAACAATGACGTCAGTGTGGGAGCTGCCGTATTTGTGGATGTGGTCTACCGCATCCTGCATGCTGTCTACCACCTCAATGCAACATTCGAGGTCCCCATACTCTGTCCTCAGAGACTTCACCTCGGATGGGCTGAAAGTCAAATAGGATGCAAACCGGGGGCCTGCATGGATCTTTACCTGAGAGAAAAGAATGGTAACATGAAACAATGATATACTGTAATGCTATGTGTAATACTGTAAATCATGGAATGTGGGTGCATTTTTCTTACATGTTCTGTTCTTAGCATATCAATCATCTGGTCAAATATAGGGGTTCGCAGTAAATCTCTGTGAATAAGGAGGGTCTCCATGGCATTGCAGGCTGCAGGGTAGTCGCATTTGGAGTCTCTGACTAGAATGAAACATAAATTAGTACATCTTTATTAATTCAGGAGTTACCCCAACAAGTTGTTAGGTGCACTCAATTAACATATGAAAACAAGATTTTTTTCCCCCACTTCTACAACTTGCAAAACACTGTGACCAAACCATAGCAGTAATGGAAACAACATCAGAAGAGCTACACACAGGAACCACATACCAACATCAATGGCTTTATCAATGCTGGCCTCGCTGTCTACGTAGACGTGACAGACACCCTCACTGTGGCCCAGAACAGGAATACCCTTGGCTGCCCTCTGGATGTCTCGGACCAGCTTGGATGAGCCCCTTGGAATGATGAGGTCGATCAACTTGTCTAGTCTGCACAGATCCTCAACTTCTTCACGTGTGCTTACCTACACGAGGTAAAGGTGAATTTTAACATATCACTGGATATTTGAAGTAATACTGCAATGAGGTAAAAACACTGTTTAGACAACATAATGCTTTCAGTTTTACCAGTTGAATTGCATCTGCTACTCCATGAATGGAAAGTGCTTCTTGTGTGAGTTGATGTAGAATTTTATTGGTGTTGGCAGCTTCTTTACCCCCCTTCAGAAGCAAAGCATTTCCACTGGCAATAGCCAGAGCTGACACCTGAAGCACAACATTACATACATGAAAATGTGAGCTGAACTTTGAAGACAAAGATGTAAAAAAAAAAGTCTTCAGGCCAGCAGGTAATGGTGATTAAGCCTGCAGGCTGCGCATTGAGGGTTGACTGACCTGTGGGAGACAATCAGGACGTGACTCAAAGATGACCAGCAGGACACCAATGGGGACAGTGATCTGTTCGAGCTCTAGGTTGTTGGCTACCCTGGTCCTTCTCAGCACCCGACCCACGCTATCTCTGGAGGATACAGCAAGCTGACGGAGGCCAATGGCAAGGCTGTTCAGCTTAGCAGTTGATAGGCTCAGGCGGTTGATCATAGGCTGGGAGAAACGACCTAAAGGATATCGAATAAATGAATAAAATTACTGACAATGCAATACTCTACAGATCCATGTAGAGAACATCTATCACTATGCTACGTCACCCTACAACATAGGGCACAGAATGACTCCAACCAAACTCATAAACTTACTATGCATATGTACAGTGCCTTGCGAAAG